ATATATATATATATATATATATTAGTATATATATATATTATATATATATATATATATAGAGGAGGAGGAGTATTATATATATATATATATATATATACCCAGTTGCTGTGTAATAACGCCTGTGATGCCCTTCGTCTCTATATTCTCCAGCATGAGAGTTTCCTTGAGTGTCCCATCGGAGTTGTAGATGGGCACATCCCGTATAATTAGCGAGCCATCTTCACCATACACCACTATCTCATTCCGCTGTATTTGTATTACCTGGTTTACGTAGGAGAGGTGTTGAGTGTATGCCTGGTACTTTCTATGTATAGATACACGCTTTTTTACATACTAACTTGAGAATCGAGATGTTGGGCGGATTCCTGGTATATTCTATTTATAGATACGCGCTTACTCACCTACGAACTTGACCATGTATAGGTTGGGTGCATGATTGGTATGCTTTATTTATAGATATACGCTCACTTGAGCATGTATATGACTAGTATATTCTATTTATAGATACACGCTCACATGAGCATGTATATGACTAGTATATTCTATTTATACATACACGTTCACTTGAGCATGTATATGAAGTATATTCTATTTATAGATGCACGTTCACTTGAGCTTGTATAAGACTAGTATATTCTATTTATAGATATACTTTCACTTGAGCATGTATATGACTAGTATATTCTATTTATAGATACATACCAAATCCTTCGCAAATTGGACGTGGCCATGCGATTTGTTGAACACCACATCGATCACCTCTTCGGGCACTAGCTCAGTCTCCACCTCAAGATATTGCGCACAAACCTGTTGAAATGGAGGTTTCAATATGGGATTTAAATTGATAAACCGGGTTTGTTTCATGTGTAGACAAACGCTTATACAAACCTGTCGAAACGGACTGTGCATAACAACACGCGCATGCATGCATTCTGCATGCAGGTGCACACAGCTCTCGCATATCCACACACGCATACGAGCACGCACGAATTCATAGTCCTCATA